GTGTGTGTGTGTGTGTATGCACTAGAGAGAGCGAGAGCAGGACGAGTATGAACGCCAAGGTCAAGTGAGAGCGCTACACTGCCAGCCAGCTGGGTGATGTGTGGAGAATTTTGGGATGGACAGATCGATGGATAGATGAGTGAAGTCCTGAGACCCAGTTGATGTACACATTGTTCTGTAGTCCTTAGTCATCATATGACTGGATGCTACTGCTGATCGTTGTTGTAGAGTTCTCTTCAGCCTGTACAGCCTTTTTCTACTGTATATTTATAGTAATATTAAAGGACCTGTGATACAAAGTATGTTTCATTTATGTTTAAAGATAATGTACCAGCAGTCTTCTTTAAGTTGGAGTTTACTGTAGACATTCTTATGTTGCTGTTTACAGTGTAGTTTCAGTGGACTGGTCAATAAACACTTTCTCCACATGGAGAATATTATCTGTTGTATGTCTTTTTCACAATCTTAATTGTCAATTGTTTAAAAAAATACCCATGTCTTTAAACAGCATACAGTAATCTGCTAAACTACCTGTCCATCTAGTTTCCCGCACTTTGTCCCAACTTTCTCTCCGTTGCACCTACAGATTATCTTCAACCCTGTTAGGTATACCATTACATTTATATCCAAGCATCAGTGTGTCATTCCTGAGATCACTAACATCACTGTATTTTAAATCAAGATTAATGATTCCAGATTCTTTATAATGTCCATTATGTTTGGTATATCATTTTTAGTTCAGAGAATTAAATAACTTTTCTTGTAATATACACACATCTATAAGCGTATACGCTTTGCTCTCAAATTAATGTCTCTAGCTGGTGATCCTTTACATTGCACTCCTTACACAGGCTGCCTAGACTCAACAGGGTGGTCGAGTGAGCGATGGCATCTTCTGGGTTGTCAAGTGGGCTTCCTCTTTCTGAGTTTTGCTGATAGACACTCCAGCAGTGAGTCCCAGCGTCCCAAGCTTATCCACTAGATGCCGTCTAGTTTGCATCATCCAGTTGTAGTGAAACCTCCACAACCTAGTTTGACACCAGTACCTTTCCTTTAGGCCCAACTTCCAAACTTTAAGATCTGAGATTTCAGTAGAACCAGATATGAGCCAGATAGGAATTAATGATGCACAATTTATCTTTTCCCAAAAAAATGAGTGTGGCCATTGCATATGATTTATTTTGTTTAAGTAAATAAAGTTACACGAGATATTTATGAAAATGTTTCCCTGGAAATGTTCTGCTTGTTCTATAAAGTGATGTGCTCTCCGATGAGAGTTTAATTTGCTGCTAAACTGTTTATTCATTTTAAGATGTAAGTTTTAATGGATGTGTCAAAGTGAAGACTGCAGCTTTTCACGTCCTTTATTCATTATTGTGCCAGATAAAATACAATAAGAACACTCTTTCTGTCTGTCTATTGGTGTATGTACTATGTATCTGTGTGTGTGTGTGTGTGTGCTGTGATGACAAAAAGAGTTTGACAGGCTGGGATCTGTCTCATCTATGACCAGAAACTCAATGCTTTCCTATCTGCCTCCTTCCCCTCCCCTCCTTGTCTCCTCTGTCCTCCCTCCTCCCTCTCTCTTTTCCTGACTAAATAAGGGAGTTGAGAGAGGGAGGCTGACCAGCACGCCTCCTCTAGCTTTCAGGCGCTGTAGTCAACACTGCTGGGCGTAATAAGAGCAGGAACTGATGCATTTTTAATTCATACCAAAATGTCACATTTTGATGGATAGCTCCTCAGGCCTCGTCCAACTGCAAGGCTGCAATTCATCATATCCTTACCAATCATTAAAGCCCTGATCGCTGGAGAAATAAATGCATTCATGCTGCTGTGCAGGTCATTTTGATAAATGCACCCAGTGAGCAGCCGCATTGCTTTAGGCCTGAATGTGACAGAACTAAAACCATGGAAATTTTCTCAGTCAAGGCCTATTACATCCCTGAGATGGATTTAAGAATCTTGTTCTAATGGACTCTGAGAAAGTGTTGGACATGCAGTGGGAGAGCTTAGCCTGCGGATGCCTTCAAGTGCAGTCAGAAAAAGTAAAACTCTGCTTGTTGCTTGTTTAAACTTCACAACTCAAACAATGTCTAGAACATTTGTTGCTTGGTTTCCTGGATAAATGAATAATAAAATGAAAAAACTCCCACACACTGTCTCACTTATACTGCTGGTATATTTATCCATTTACAGCTGTTCCATATACATACTGTAGATGCTGGCTAATTTATCCATTTTTACTTTTCCAAAATGAAACAGCTCATTACTCTTCAAAAGTAATATTATTACTTTACTTATTACTCCCAGCCAACAGTAATTAGTTACATTACTAGTTATATTACTTTCCTTCTACTTCCCACAAAATTGGTAATAGTGCTCCTTCCTCCCCAAAATTCAGACTTACATCTTCAGCTTCCATCTACCAAGCTAGTTTCCTCCATGTTTGCATTAAGTAAATGAATCCAAGGATGTCAGATTGTTGGATTTCAAATTAGCAGGGGGTGACAACAGTTACTGGGAAAAGTAATAGTAGTAGTAATAAGTTACAACACTGAACATCAGCTTTTGGTACACTCTTTGCATGTGTTTCTAACCTATGAGGAGCATGGAAGTCAGCATAGAAACATTTTAATTATGAAACAGTGACACATAGTCTCTGCTTCATAAACTCTTTACTGTAACAATGAACCCAGTCAACAACTTAAACACAACTTAAAGGGCATAACCAGTGTGCAGAGAAATAGTTTTATCTCATGATTCTGCAACATTAAGAACAATAAAAGTGAGCTCGTCTGAAGAATCCATCAAAGGACATTTATTTGATCATATTACAGTATTTTGTGCTGTATTATAAAGTTGTTTAAGTTCATATATAATGTTCGAAATAATTGGGTTGGCTTCAATTTTGTAAAAAATCAAATATCCATTTTGCTGGTCCATTTGAATGGACTATGTTTAGTTTTCCAAGTTTGCCAAGAGACCCGGACAATGATTTACAACGAGTCAGTCTTTTCCCCTCCAGCTAAACCTGCGCAAAGTACACGCTCCCCTGAAAACACAGCGGAACCACAATTCAGGTCCCTTTTTTGAGTCTTCCCCACAACTCCAACTGTGGCAAACCATCTATCACAACAAAGGAACCCGCCTTATAA